CGACCCTTCACCACAGGCAGCTTCCTGATATTTATTAAAAACATGCTAACAGTGGGCATATGGAAGCACTGTAACGGTCACCATCCTTCTTCTGACCATATTCACAAGACAACAACAGAGAAATCGGTTAACATTAATCACTCACATATAGTCAGTTTTCAGAAGTACAATGAGCTCACGCAGTTCTTAGTTTACCCAAACAATACAAATTAGGTAACACGGACACGAAATGCTCATACATTGGGAATCCAAAATACGGCATGAGCAATGCGAATCGGGCAATAAAGACCCGCTAATACCAAACAATTTGCATAAAAGTCGACACTTATATAAAACTATTTAATTTTATAGTTCAATAGTGTACATTGGCTGTTACCTTAATTTTTAACCAAGTTATAAACCAAAAACCCCTCCCCAACACAAGAACGTTTCGTATGAAAGGGAATTATCATGGTAAAACGCGAGGCTACCATCAATGTTACTGTCAATCAGTACTCCTGCATCTACTAACCGCCCTCATTTTAAGAGCCTAGGTATCACGCAAATAGGCGTAGCTTTCGAAGAATAAACAAAGAAATATCCATTTACGCCCCTAAAACTGTACACAAGAGAATATTTACTGCATCTCTACATAGAGGTCACCGCTCAAGACCTAAACCTCGCCTTAAAGAATAAATGTCAAAAGTAATCGATTCTACGAAGTTGGTTAACCCGCCCCAACTATGGACGATTCAGTCAAACAGAGCACGAAAACGGTGGTATTGAAGACAGGTGTGGACAACTGTCCAGACAAGAAGATAAGGGCTGGCGCAGTTACGGGGAGGCAAAAAGGAGCCATATGGCGTCAAAATGGCTGAGTAGACAGCGGTGGTAAATTTTGAATTTGCAATTAGTAATGACTGGAAGAACTGTGTAAGGGGCAGATAAAGAGATGGAAAACGGTGGCGACAGAGAGTGAATAGAAATAGCACAAAAAATGATTCAACTAATGCAAAATACAGCGCAGAACGAACACCACCACAAGTCGGACTGGCGTACATGCAAATTTCAAGTTGTGATCAATAAAGCAAAAAATGAAGGCCTACCACGAAAAAGTGATATGAAAGTAAAACTGATACTCCTTAAAATTTATTCACCGGACCGCTTGTTTTGGACCCCATTTCTAATCTCTAGTTGAATCCGCCTTCGTTGCTGCATTTGTAACAAGGCAATTGAAGGAAAAGCAAACGACAATGGTCTGCCCAAAATCTTTTGGATTTAATTCCAGCTCACAGGTGTTAAAAGCCAACTGGTAAATTACAAAAAAGGCTCTTCGGCAGCCAGAGTTGCATAAGTAGCAAAACGAAAGTCAAAAAAATTAAGCTGGAAGAATCACCCGATAAACTGCATTATTTACGCTAGAAAGGGCGCATTCGTTCATAGATAACCTTTACTCTATACCTGCTTCGATCCGACTCTAAGCTAACCGTTGAAGATGGATGTTTCAGATATTTTGCATTAGTCGAGACAAGCGTTCTGTCAGGTCAAATTATGAGAGTTTGACTGAGCTAGCAAATGTCAAAAGGTATTTTCTAACAGACTTTCTATAGTTGCAGCGGATATCGCATGCATCATTTGCCATTGCATCTCACATCACACAAATTCGGGTCATATAGAGGAATCCTGATGAGCTTTGACATACATTTCATTTGGCTAAAAGAAGGTCGCACCCCTAACATGAAACCCAAAATGCATCCAGCCTGGTCCATGCAACCATCGACAAAAAATCTCCCATCGAGTAGCTAATTAAAATTAAAGATCACATGAAGATTCTTCAGACCTGCAATCATTCAATTTATAGCTCGTGAGTAGGATTCCTCAAACTTATTACCCGGCTGCATGCCAATTCTAAATAAGCCAATTTACAGTTAGATACCAGAACCGGGAAGTTTAAACAAATATTGAAAACGGTTTAGCAAAGTAGTAGGAACTGTTTGGTAGATGATACTTGGTGGTTCTGAAGTCTACGTCTAAACGCTGCTTAAAGAGATAAGAAAATTAGCGATTCTGCAGATATCCAACACAGGTTAACATGGGTACAAATAAATTAAGTCTAATGAATAGAGCGAGTCGAGAAGATACCAATTATATGAAAAGCGACCGGCTAAAAATAGGGAATCTCACTTTAACAAAATTAAAGTCGGTATAATATTTTATTGAGAAAACAATAAAAAAGCGTTTACCCGGCGCCTCGTATCCCGCATCGTCCTCATGATGTGGTGGTGGAGGCGGCGGCTGTTGAGCCGACCTCTGGGATGTTAGAATTCCTGTTCCCATTTGGAGCCGCGGAGAGCTATGCTTCATCAGTCCCACTGGTGCCAATATAGGCTGTTGTTGTTGCTGTTGAGGCGTAACCACACCGTTCTCTTTAGTGGCGTCCAGCAACCCCACCTTACTGTTTCTGTCAATACCACCGCCTCCGCCGCCACTTCGCTTTAGCCGGAATGCCATATCTTCGCCGGCTGTAGCTGCATTGGGTGGATAACGCTGCTTCACACGTTGCTGTCTGCGCCGGCGACAGACTAGAATGATTGCGAAAATGAGCAACCAGAGCACTGCGACAAAGACCAGGCAGACGATGAACCAAGTATGATTGTAGACTCTAGTGCCTGAAGAAGAGGTTGTGACGTCCGAAGGGAAGCGTGTCGTGGATAGAGTCTTCACATTGAAGGCGCCAATGGTGGAGGGAGAAAAGGAGGCGCTACCACCGCTACTGCTATCACCCTCACCATCAGAGAGAGAAGTCCGGGTAAAGACGAGAGCCTCGGAGACGTTGCGACCGAGGAGCTTGAGATAGTTGCTTGCGATAATAGGATAGGGCTCAGAGCGAACCCCCTCCCCATGACAAGTGATTGCAGCGAGGTATAGAGTGTAGTTGGTCCTGGGCTGGAGATTTTCCACTCTATACTGTGTCGTCTTTGGACCTACCTGTAAGGACGACAAGAACTCCCTATTATGATGCACGCCAACAAATGACTAATAAATAATTCAAACAATGCTTTGTGTTATTTATCTAACGGTAACTTCCCAATCACATTTATGTACTAAGCTTGTGTGCGAAATGGTTTAGGAGCTGACTGGGGCCTCAAAATGTTTACCAAAAAAAAGAACAACATTCTACTGTTGGGAAATTACAGTCGTTTAAAACAGTCAAAAAGCAATATTAGGCAACCCTAGGAAATAAGCGCATACACCCTACGGTGTAACCCAAAGTGGCGATAGCTTCGCCTCTTTTGGCGTGTCCCGTTTACATCAACCCCTAAACAGTAATGTGATTGGGTCACTGAACCCACTGATATGAAGCACTTATCAAAGCCAACCAAATTTTCACTTCACAGATAAAACAATATGCAGAAATATTCAAGAATGTGTTAAACGTTTGAATACCAACGCCGTTGGTATCTAGCCACAAGATTCATACCGGTCGCCACTAGAACTTCGACCAATTTATATGATGCTTCAAGGCTAAAAAATGAAGTCAAAGGTTAAGAGAACTACATTGCCAATAAAAATCAGGTCCAATTACATATTTGTGACACCGAACTCAAGTTAGTGACGGACACTTCAGGAGAGGAAGATAAAGCAGGCAAATTTCTGAATGTCTACAACGTACAAACATTTCAGAGCATATGCTTCTCCAGGCACTACTAGGTGCACTTCAACTTCCACTCTCAACACTTCAAATTACTTCCAGGGAAATAGATTATTTAGGTTTAAAAATAATGTGGCCAGTTTACTCCCATAGAAAAAAATCCTCCGGACAGATTAGATTCTCAGTGCACATTTCATGCCTGCATTCGAATTCTCCATTTCCCTAAAGTTCATAGTGCAGTACCCAAACGACCACTTACCGGTCCAAAAGGGAAGAAATCTTTTGGAAGCAAAAAAAATACACATGTAGATGTCTCCAGTAGTTGGTTGTGTAGGGAGCTCATAGCTTAATGAATAAGTGATAGGAATCAACGGGAGCGATAAACATGCCCACAAGGGATGGATAAAGGACACTCAATGGCTAAGCTGATGGGCGTAGACGACTAAGACACTTCCCCATCTCGGACTCACGGCAGAGGCATGGGAAGGGAGAGGCAACCACGTAAACGAAAGTGGACCTCGATGAACATGTGTATTGACTGCCATTAACAGACAGACGCAGACAACTGATGAACGGGTGATGGCCACACACCTCACCCCACACCCTGACGTCAAAGCACCTATAAGTTAGCACCTGAAAAAGGGGGGAGGGGGAGCCAGCACTTTAAACAAGCGTGACTGCAATTAATGAGTCATACCATGAAGACATGCTGACTCACGCGCGCCAGTTGTCACAAGCAGGTCGGAAGCTCGAATAGGAAAAGAAAGGGGAACTACCTCAAACCAACGGACACCCCGCTCCGGTTGAGCTGGAGATGGCGAAGTACTCCGAATTCGTTCAAAGAATTTCGGTTATGCCCCTTTCAATGTCCATAAGAGGAAGTTCGAAATGTGTTCTCGTAAAAAGTGGAATCGAAGCCCCTGAATTTAACATAACCAATGCGCGGAAAGAGAACTGTGATTAAGTAGAACATCTGCTTTTCGCCCCACCGTTTTCTGGGACAAATAGCTTTAGTCGATGGACGCAAAACGTCCAAGCACTCCCTCCGTTGACAAATAAGCAAAGCACCCGCGAAAATGGAAAACTGTCAAAGGCGTCTTAGTGTCAAAATGGCTGTGATATGCCCTTTTCATTCCCACTTTACATCTCAAGTGCCATTTGCCTGAATGCTGGATCATTTTGGTGGTGGAAATGCAAGTGATCACGCCATCGTGGATGAATTCTTCTCTACCCCTTGATCACAACGCTGTTAAGGCCATGAATGGACAAAATAATTAGACGAAACATAAACTAAACGACCCATCTTAAAAACGAAATCCACCGCACATTTTCTGCTGGGTTGTGAATACAGCTAAAAGTAGGTAATGGAATTTAAACCAATTCGTAACCGACTGAAAATGTATTACCATACGTGCGTACTATAGCATCTAAACAACTAAACAGTCAATGCTTATCGGTAGGTCTTATGGTAGATGTGAACACAAAAACGACTTTCGCATTGAAGTTAGGTCACGCGGTCAAGAGATGGAATGAGGAGTGACAACGAAAGTGATAAAAACACCGCCTAAGGTCAACTCGTTTCCACCTTAAATGTGTGCATGTATGCATAGAAGTAATGTAACAGATTGATTTCGGTCGGCTGACGTGGTAGACTAAGACTATGGGCAATAGGGACACCCAAACGAAAGTTAGCAAGTGTGCGATTGATACAAACAGTGTCACATGAGAGGCAAGATTTAAAGAAAAAGAAGATAGCACGGCTAGTGTGGGAACCAGAGGTGCAAAGTTAATCTCTAAGTCACTATGAGATGTAGGGAGAAAATTACAGACGCTGTTTTCCTGTCAGAACGCCTACAACAAGTCCTCCCCGTGGTGAGGTGTCCAAGTAGCGCATTAATTACAAACCTGACTAGCTTATCACATTTCAGCAAGTGTTTGAGAAGACGAAGAGCAGTGGTAGGGGCCCTAGGCGAAACCAAAGACGAGGAAAAGAGGTGGAGAGGAGGGCATGACTCACACACCGCGTGCGTATGTGTGCAGTGAGTGACCGTAACAGAAACCACGACTTGTGTGATTCATCATACCTTTATGCTCCCTCCGCCAAACACACCCACACACAGACCTACCCTGACAGTTTTGCGCTGTTCAGAGTCTCTCCCGAGAAGTCGTAGGGAGAAACCACTGATGAGCCCATTGGTGGACCATGGTGGTGGAGGCGACCACATGATTTCAAGTACCTCGTCGTTCGCACCCACCCACCGCGCTTTCACATCCTGAGGCGCTTGGCTGGGCGTGCTATCGAAGGTAAGGACATTTGCAGAACGGCTGCTCTGACTGTATACTCGACCCAGGGTCCGATCCTCCGAATACGCCTTTACTTCGACCTCGTAGCACACGAAGGGACTGAGGTTGTCCAAAACCATTCGAAAAGGTGCTGAGTTGACTAGGTACAGCTCCATGAAACGATAGTGCTCTCGCTGATCGGAAGGCGGTAGTTGGGTACTGGCATAGTCTAATACATTCTCCGACAACATCTGCAGACTGCAATAGTTCTCAGATAGCAGAGCCATGTTGTCACCAGAGTAAGGGACTTCATCGTCGAAAGCCACAGGAGTATAGTTGGGGCATAGGTCTGATGGATGATCACGTTCAGTAGATGCATCAACTGGGAGACAACGGGCCAAAGGAACTGCGCGGTAATGCACACTAATGCCAGTGAGCAATGCTAGTGCATTTTCCGCACCGCAGATTCGACCTGAAAGTTCAACCTCAGAGGTGGAAAGACTGGTGAGTTGGGGAGTACTAAAGAGGACAGAGCTGATGCTCTCTGCAGGAAAGCTGGTGAAATTGACATAACGATGGCGCTTCTTTGTATACACGGTGTGTGGAAGAATGTAAGGCCTGCCCACTCCGCGTGGACTCACGGTCCTTACGAGGATCCGGTAACCACTCTCGGGTTGGAGACCGGTTATTTTCACTGTCTCATCTGGACGGGCTTCTGCAGCTACTAACCACCCATGGTTTTCACCAATTCCGATGTACTCAACGCGTACCCGTGTGCGTTCCACCACCTGAGGTGGGGCCCCAACAACCCCAAACTCGTTCAACGACAGATCCCCTTGTACATCCCCGAAGACCGGGAGAGGCGAGACTGTACACTTGACAGAAATCCATGAGTCACCAACTTCGACAATATCAACAGTTCCTGGGGGCCTGGGAAGATTCTCAACAATGGATGGATGGTAGGTAGGATGCATAGCTCTAGTTACTTGAAGACTAGCCGTCCACTCAGTGGAGTACAAGTATTGCTGATTATGCTGGGTCTGACTGACAACTTGTGTGGTTTCGGCACGGCATGTATAGTTGCCTTGATCAGAAAAGTTGATATCATTTATTTGCAAGGTGCCTTGTGAGAGAAGCACAATTCTTGGATCACTATCAGGAGTGAATTTGAAACCATTTTTCGACCAAGTTACACTGACACCATAAGAATCGTGTTGAAGCCTTTCAGGAAGACCGATGGATCCAAGAAGGTGTGCTTCACAGCGAAGAGTAGCAGTGGTTCCGAGAAGAACAGTCTGGTTTTGGGGTCCCAATTCTATTACTATTATCGGCGGGGGGTTTAAATCGCTGACAAATAAATTCGCTGAGGATTTGACCATGCCTGTCTTATGGGAAGCCCGACACTCATATTTGCCCTCGTCAGATTTTCGAGCTGAAGTAACCACTAGACTGCCCTCGGGATCAACAAATACCCGTGGTTTTCCAACTGGATGTGGATTCTTGAAATTGGAATGGAAGAAATATTCACCATTGTGGACCCATCTAATGTAAGGACGTGGGGAACCACTAGCCTGGCAATTGAAAGTAGCTCTCTTGCCTTCGGCAACAGTAGTGTCAGTCGGGGTGATAGTGAAACTTGGAGGAGAAAGAACGACAAGTTTCGCAGATGCATCGATACTTCCGGCCTCGTTCTTTGCTTGGCATAAATACGTGCCAGCATCTTCAGGTCTAACCTGAAATATTCGAAGGCTTTTATCATCACGAAGGACACTGCGATCCTCGGGGATATGTTGGCCATTCTCTCTTCGCCACAAAATAGAGGGCTTTGGATCCCCATTGACACGACACACGAACTCCACATCTTCACCCATTTTAACCTGCTGATTTGATGGAGTTATCTCAAAACGTGGCTTCTGGTGGACAGTCAACGTAGCTACCTCACTCTCTCGTCTACCCGCACGATTTCTAACCTCGCATTGGTAGGTCCCAGCGTCCCGTCGCTGAACCTCAGATATGTGTAGATCCCCATCTATCCGATTTATGCGTAAAGAAAGTTGCACAAGCTCTGTGTTGTGGTACCAATTTACGACGGGATCAGGCAAGCCATGAGGAATTTTGCATCGCATGATTACATTCTCGCCGATGCTAGTCACCTGGGTTTGTGGACCCTCGGTAATGGGGTCTAAATAGGCCAGCCGCACATTTGCATGTGCAGACCTTGTCCATCCTTCTGAATTGGATGCATTGCAGTAGTATGTACCCTCATCCTCGGGTTCAAAAGAGAGGAACATTAGCTCTTCTGACTTTATGATTTTATTAGAAGTTCCAGGCCTTTCACGAATCGATTGAACTTGTTGGCCATCCTTGTACCATATGATAAGCGGTGGAGGTTCACCATCAGCTTGACACCGGAGGGAAAGTGGTCGATTTAGAAGACCGAACGCATCCTGGGGATCGACCGTAAAAATAGGCTTTCGTCTAGGCGACATTTGATGCAGTGAGTAACATGATGGAGAAATAACAATAAGGATCACAAGCGAATAGCAAAATAGCATCTTCTTATGGCCTATTAATAAGTTGAATAGTTAGCACGAGGACCCAGTACATGTGTGACAGCAGTAAATCGGAAAACAGCTCTCCTCGATTGGACAATGCAAAGGTAAGCAACAAATTCTATGACCAATGAAATTTTCAAAACCTTAGAAGGTGATAAAGATAAACTAAGAAAAATATTTTACTAAATGTTAAATGCAGAAGATGTCGTTATGAAAATAACGCGAGTGTGGCAAAAAGCATAATTTTATTTGCAAGTTGGTACAAAACGTAAAGCCTTATGTAAAATAGTTATAGCATTGCAACTGAAGGGGGCCACATGTTTTCTTGTGAATATACTTCACTAATGGTTAAAAGCTTCGTCTCTCCACGTTGAGAGCCTTGAGCCAGGGCAATGATGCGGCTTACTGGTGGTAAATTTCTCCCACATGTCAAACTTTGCCACACATTCATAGGGAGAGGCGTATTATCAAGAGTTGTTCACTCCGACCTGCCGTTTACTTGCCTTGTGTTGTCAGTTTTCTTCATTCTTCAGCCGAATTGGAGAATTTAATCGCACCATATTCTGACCAATCCAGGCAGAACGTTAGTCTGCAACAAGAGCTACTCCCATGCCTGTCGCAGGTTACTGTCTGTAAGGTCATTGCCTTGAGCGCAGAATTATCTATCGGCTAAAGTGAATTACAAAGGCTCCATTGGTTTATCATATAACATCTCTTCTTTCTTGCCACTTTGTGTATATCCCAGTGTTAAGCCTCCTCGCCAAAAATGTTGAAATTTTTTTGTCGGTAGGACTTGATGGCCCGTAATCACCTGTTCGAGTAGTTAACGTTAATACGCAGGTGACCTAAGTAGCTCTACGATGCGCCTCGAACCGGCACGGACCTTAGTATAAATTTTCGCTATTGATGTCTTGCTTATGGGTCAAAGGTGATCTTTATTTCAGAAGTAATGTAAAACTTAAATATTATGTTAATATACCTTTTTTTAGTTTGGAGGCAGAGCATCATTTGAATCGTGGTTCCTGAGAAGCACATTGGAGGGCACTCTTGGGTGCCTAGTAGTTGCAATCCTACCTGCGTTCGCTCTCTCCTTATTTGTGTAATCGCTTATCATTGCAAATAAGTCTGTTTAGAGAAAAGCATCTCCAGAATCTCCAAGAGGTTGATCTCGGAACGGAGGACATCTGCAGCGTATCTTCTGCCTTAATGAGTTTTTTGATTGTTCAATAGTGAGCATCCATCACAAGGTGCAACCTTGATCCGTGTGATTATAATGGAGGAGCTTCTATACTTCTTCGGCCACTCCCTTAAGCTTTTATTAGCGAGGTTAAAATAACCAGTCTCAGCAATATATCAGACTGATTAAAATTGTGCATTCTTTAACAATGCCAGTGATACAGCGATTTACTGTGCCTTTATTATTTTTCAGGATACTTTAAAAATACTTTCAATCGGATTCTTCGCTAGATTCAAGAAGTGTTCTACTTTGCTTATTTAGTAGCACTTATTAAATTTGTAAATCTCTCAGCTTATCAGTGCAATAAACATACCACCTGACTTATAATAAGGTAAGGTAAAAGCGTCTTTGTATATCTTGTGCCATTTTAAACGAACGCTGCTGCAGCCAGTTCTAAAGTGAATTTATTTTTTGTAGCTTATGCGTGACGCATCAAGTCTACAATCAAAATAAACCATAGAAAGAAGTGAAGGTGCCGGCATCGAACGTTTTGAATTACCCTTATTGGCCGATAAAACAGGTAGTTAGGGTGTCTATTTAGTTACTTGCATAGGGTTTTCTGTGACTTTTACCCCAAGGTTATAAATAATAAAGTGGAGCAAAACAGGACTGTTGGCAGCTGCTATTTCCAAAAAGTTGGGAAATTTTAATGAAACTTTTTGTCACGCTTTTTTATGCCCTTGGAGATGAACGTCAATACCGTAAAGGGTACCACACACACCTTCTTAAATGAGCGCGCCATTATGAACTTCATGCTTAAGTAAAAACGAGAAATTAGGCTTCATATAGACTCTGAGCTACTTCTGTAGCAAAAGTGATTCGACCTTCTGAGCTTTTAGAAACCAGAAAGATGCGATTCATAGGTGGTTCATGGGTGAGAAATAGCTTGGCCTAGACTTCAACTTTATACTAATCTGATTCATTTTAAAGCGCAAGTTAAGTTATTAAAGCATTGGGGTTGTGGACGTTGACAATCGCGTGGTAAGTGCGATAGTTCCTGTGGCCACGGATGGGATGCCTTTTATAACAACTTTGAGTCCAGGTAAGCATTTTTTCCCCGTCAAGTAATTTGATCTCATCATACGACTGAGAGATAGCTCAGTTTACCTACCATGCTTAAAGTTAAATGGGACGATCTGTTTTTACGCTTCGGTCAAAAAGTTGCTTCAGTACTCCGTTTCAAGGTTCGTCGGAACGCCTAAGTGGATTTGACTTTCCTCCTACGGAGATATTACAGACGATCGTAAGGGCTTTTTTACAAGCCGGAGAGTGGATGCTGAAAAACAGCTTATCTCAGTTTGGTCCCATGTCTTCGCATCATTTGTATCCGGTTTTGGTTTATTGGGCTTGTGGGTGGAAATCTAAATGCGAGTAGCATAATGAATCTGTTTACTTAATTTTGCACTGCTTTAACGGCTCTTTTCTTAGATGTGTTTGTTACAATCTTGCAAAAAAGTCTCGTAGGTTCTAAAAAAGTTTTGTGTAGCCTGTGCCCACAACTAGTGCTCATCACAGCAGCAACATTTTTATTGTTTTTGCAAAGACGCATTTGCTTCATAGAATCGCGCATTGTTTACGAACGCTGATTAGTCACACCTTTATAACTATTTTTGCTACGCCTCGAGTAATGATAATAATAATAATGGTAATAAATTTTGAAGTTATCTTTAAAGTTGTTCCAACACTCTACAAGGTACATCATGGAAACTGCAAGGCCTTAAAAATGACAGGAAACTGTCAAGGCTAAAATGAACACAACCCGTTTTCAGACCGATAGGAGGAATTGGGAAGTAGAGATGCAATTAATGCTAATATCGCCTTAGTGGTTGGTTGGTTAGTTCTCCTTCCACTCTTCCTCCTCCCTCCTTCTTTGCTCTTCCGTCTTCCCTTTTCAAGACGTTAGCTCAAAATCAGACGATTGGCGAATTATTCACTGCCCATTGAATAAGTGCTGCTCAGAGGTGTGAATATTTTGATGACTAGGT